CCTCAATGTTTGGATAAAGGTAAGGTAAAGGTAAAGGTTCCCCTCGCACATATGTGCTAGTTGTTCCTGACTCTAGGGGGCGGGGCTCATCTCCGTTTCAAAGCCAAAGAGCCAACGCTGCCCGAAGATGTCTCCATGGTCATGTGGCTGGCATGACTAAACACCAAAGGTGCACGGAACGCTGTTACCTTCCCACCAAAGGTGGTTCCTATTTTTCTACTTGCATTTTTACATGCATTCGAACTGCTAAGTTAGCAGAAGCTAGGACAAGTAACGGGAGCTCACTTCGTTACGTGGCGCTAGGGATTCGAACCGCTGAACTGCCGACCTTTCTGATTGACAAACTCAGTGTCTTAGCCACTGAGTCACTGTGCCCCTATAAGTAAATCTATAAATCCTTGTAAATACAAATGTGCTGAAATGGAAGCTTCCAGAAAAGTACTATGGTACATCATTGTGTGACAGACTAAGTTCAATTTCTAGAGAGAGAATGTTTCCTTGTCACCTTTAAATGATTATTTTACTTGATAGGTGGCTGAAGAGCACTCACTGAATGCCTACAAAATAAGAACATCACATCTTTTTGAATCAATTATCAGCAACAGAAAAACAATTTTAGTAATTTCATCATCATAGTAGTCTCCTGAACCTTTTTCTGCATTTTCTCCAATCTTCTAAATAAAATTAGGGATTGATGGAGATTTACAAAAATTTCTCCCTGCATCAAAACTGGTATTTTATCAAAGAATATTTTATACAGATGATTCCAACCATTCTTTGCAGAAGTCATTACTAGCCATGTGTTAGTTCCAATATCTTATCTTTTGATAGTCTACTGTTTTATTTTAGAACCTCAGAGTTGGGAGAAGCTCTAAACAAAAACCATACCTACACAACCTATTAAAATAGCTTCAATATGCATTTCCTTCCTCTTCTGAACGTAGAAGTGTCATTTCATCCTAGAGAGCTCCATGCCTGCCACTTGCTTTCTGAACAATAATCTTCATGGTTCATTGAGAAAATCCATGGCATTTCAATTAGTGCAAAATTGGTTTGGTTTCTAACACAGACATGGTCAAAGATCACAATGACAAGCACTAAGTGAGTAAATTCCAAGTTTTTCAGTTGTCATATAAATTATTTCTTAACCAAGGGTCTTCTTTGCCTTAAATCAATTTGTTGTGTATCCATCATAAAAGGGTCACCCAGAGTAAATAACCATAAACAAAACAGAAGGGAATCAAAAAGGACAAACAGCTCACTGTCTTTCTCCAAACCAGCATACATTTTAAAGCAAGGGTACTCAACCTTGGCAACTTTAAAACTTGTGGACTTCAATGACTGCCTGGGAAATTCTGGGTGTTTTAAAGTCCACAAGTCTTAAAGTTGCCAAGGTTGGACACCCCTGCTTTAAACAATCATTGTGACACTTCAATATTTTACAGTGAACATTTCAATTTTCAGTTCTATTAGTTTTGACAAGCACTTGTCACCTATCATTATAAAACCTTTTCTCTTTTCCCTTTTGAATGTGACAATGATTCCCAGTGCTCAGAAATATATGTTTCTTTTAAATTCCTGCTTTTACCTTCTTTTAAATTACCTTGTGAAGTCTGTCATCTCCATCATAATCACACACATCCTTTTAGCGAGAACGATGATGTCATTGCTGGTGTCATCCCATATTTCAATCTCCTTATCAAGCTCACTCTTGACTTTCTTAAAATCAGCCACTTGTTCAGCTATCTTTTCTTTCTCCGCCTCTGGCAACTGAGTCATCTTTGCCTGCAAAATCAAAATAATTTGATCTGTAAAACATCTGCCTCTATCAGAGGACATCCTCCTTTTATAGATTGGAAGGGACTTTAACAAATTATTGCTGTAAATAAACTGTGACTATGATGCAGTCAGGATCTAATCCACAAATATTTGGGCCAAATTCCTATGAGGGCAATTTTTTTATTAGATGTTGACCAAACATCATAGTTTTATGCACAAATAAACCTTTCTTCCTCCACTATTTCTTTTAATTTAACAGGCTACTCAATATTACTGTAGAAAGTTAGCACCCACCTCTCTCCTAGAAAATGAAATATTTTAGGAAATATTAAAGGGCAGAATATTTCCCGCTAAAAGGGAGGAAGAAACTCATCCCTCCCCATCTTTGTCAATCGGCCATTAAGGCCTGGGCCAGAGACACATGTTTTTAGGCAGGAAACAGACTCACTCTTAATAGCCCCCACCTTTGTCAATGGACCATTTTTGCCTGAGCCAGTCTATTCTACATAACAAAGATCTACCTCGTTCAGGCAGAGCCATAATAGGAATAGAAATCCCAAAGCCCTTTCATTACAACAACACCCAGCAAGGTTCAACTAAACTTGGACTCAAAGCACAGCCTACAGAGTTGCCCCTGCATCGCCTTATGGGAGTCTGACAGCCAATCAGAATACATTTCTTGCATAGGAGTGGGAGGCCCTGGGACAGGGCCAAACAGAGGGAATAAAACCCAGGGAGTATCCACAAGACANGTGCTATCCAAAGTGTGCGGCAGTTTAGGAGTGGCCCAGTGGTGGGATTCAAATAATTTAACAACCGGTTCTCTGCCCTAATAACCAGCCGTGTAGGCGGGGCTCAGTGGTCATGTGACTGGGTGGGCATGGCCAACTCAACATCACTCAGGTCGATGGGGGCTTCGCCTTAACTTTGACAATGTAATAAGGGTTAACCGGAGAGGCAGTTTCTGTAAGCAGGGCAATAAAGATCAGCCTAGAAACAACACCAGAGTTTCTTTCCTGCCTTCCTTACAGGATTAGCCCTGTAAAGTGGAAGAAAACAAAAGGAGATTTCTTCCAACAACCAGTTCTCCAGACTGCTTAGAAAGTTAACAACTGGTTCTCCTGAATAGGTGCGAACTGGCTGAATCCCACTACTGGAGTGGCCGCAATTCTTGCAAACGGAGAATTGTGGCCACTTTCAAAATGGCAGCGACTTCTGGGCACCACATGGCCTCTTACCTAGAAAAATTGTATGGCACATCGGCTGCTTCTCCTTGAGAAAGGCAATTTTTGAAACGCATTATGATTTCCATGATTAAGTTCATAAATAGTTTAGTTAAACTGCAACAATTTCAGCAATTGATGGTGGAGTTGAAACATTAATGCAAAACCCGAATGTTTCAAAATGTGAAGTCATCTGCACTGCAACAAGATTTTATTAAAACATACCTTATTTCGTGAGATTAAAAAAAAAAAACTATTGCTATTTGAGGTTTTAGACTATCAACTATATTTTTATTTGTCCCCAAAGGGGCTAAATATGTCAAATTTTCAGTTTTCCTTATATAGCTTATAGGTTTGAAAACATCTGAAATACATAAAATATGCATCACGTTTATATCTTTTTTTTCTTAACCTCGTATGATCTCGATGAATGAAATATTTTCTTTTCTGCAATATACTAAATTAAAAAAAAAAGCTTTTATTAACTCAGAAGAAAGAGAGGATGCCGTTAGTGGGCAACTTCAACCTGTCACCTAAAAAAAAAATATCTGGAATTTTGGGACTCTAATCATGAGATCACATTGCTTTCGTGCCAGAAGCACCAAAGCAGAAGTGAGTTCCTACTGGTTGGGACCGGTTCAGCCGAGTAGGTAGTAACTCAGCTGGCTGTGCCCCCAAACCGGTGCCACCATCTTGTTTTTTGCTTCTGCACATGCGCAGAAGCAATTTTTTCACTATTGCGCATGCGTGCATGGCATACACGCGCCTAAAGTGCATCTCTGAGCGAGCCAACAGTAACAGAAGCCGGAACCCACCCCTGCACCAAAGCCCTTCTGGGTTGAAAGGATTAGTCAGTGACATCCCCATTTCCTGAGGGATGTCCAGGTGGGAGCTCCTCTCATGTCCCTGGCAGGAGCTGGAGTGAAGGATGGGAGTTCAACCCCACCCCACAGCAGCACTTGAGTCTCAAATGTGGGCTGGCCAACCTCCATCTCAGCATCCTAACCAGGAGCCACTGTGCTCCCCAGGTGGTGACATGAAACAAAGCTCCTGGATGGCTATCCTTGGATGCAATGATGGTGGAGAAATATAAAGATTTCCTCACCCTTATTGCTATGAGGTAGGCCCTAATAGCAGCTCAAACCTGAGTTCAGTCAGATTCATTCTTCATCATCCTCCAGGAGTGCTCCTGATGCCTCTTCACCTGCTTTACCTATTTTTTTTCTTATACAACCCATGTATTTATGACATAAAAAGATGTAATCTTCTTGTGGATTTTTCCTGCGCTCTCCTTATTACCAGAATTATCTTTGGTGTGATAGCAAAGTAGTCAAGATGGCGGTCACACCAAAACCCTCCATTTTACAACATGCATATAGCATAGCACCGTTATGGACCATCTTGACTTTTGAATACCCCATTTGCAACGATGAGAATTAAAAAGATCTGAGCAGATTCTGAACAGATTCAGCCTAAACTACAATTAGCTTGCCCTGAAATCAATGCACCAAATCAGAGTTAATTGTCCACTAAATTCCAAGGCCGCTGAAGTTCATGGGCACTTAAATACAGTGTATTATGGATCAAAGTCTGCTTCAATTCACCCTGAATTGAACATATTGGCACTTTTTTTTTTCGTATCTAAAGAAAAAAAATTCCCTTTATGTAATTGAGTGATAAAAAAGTGTGTATGTATCTTGTATTTATATATACCTGATTAGAGAAGACCAAGCAGGAAAAACCTTTACCTGGAAGCATTATAAAAAAAAAACAGTACAGCTTGAATATTATAAAATGAAAATATTCACTATTCAAGTTAAACTGATCAGTGCAATGAAGTGGATCCACAAATGGTCTTTTGTCCTCAAAAATTCTCATAAGTGACTACTGGTATTAGTTCAGCAGTACCCTTTTTCAATTACGGATGCGGTGGCTCAGATGCTGAGCTTGTCGATCAGAAAGGTCGGCAGTTTGACGGTTTGAATCCCTAGCGCCACATAACAGAGTGAGCTCCTGTTACTTGTCCCAGCTTCTGCCAACCTAGCAGTTTGAAACCATACAAAAATGCAAGTAGAAAAATAGGAACCACCTTTGGTGGGAAGATAACAGCGTTCCGTGTGCCTTCGACATTTAGTCATGCCAGCCACATTAGTTTAGTTTAGTTTAGTTTTATTGAACTTGTATGCCGCCCTATTCCCCGAGGGGACTCAGGGCGGCTAACAAACTAAATAGGGAAAAGGGGAAGTACAAAAAATGAAAGACAGACAAATACAAAACAGATTAAGAACTCATCAACAGCCACAACAATTTGAGTGGGGCTGGGAACTCATCAGCCCCAGGCCTGCCGGAACAGCCAGGTTTTAATGGCTTTGTGGAAAGCCTGAAGGGTGGCAAGGGTCCGAATCTCCACGGGGAGATCGTTCCAGAGGGCCGGAGCAGCCACAAAGAAGGCCCTCCCCTGGGGGGGGGTCGACAATCGACACTGGCTAGTCAATGGAATCTGGAGGAGGCCTAATCTGTGGGATCTAATTGGTCGTGAGGAGGTAATTGGCAGAAGGCGGTCTCTCAAGTACCCAGGTCTGATACCATGTAGGGCTTTAACACATGACCACAAAGACGTCTTCAGACAGCACTGTTTAATACAGTTGAACTTCAGTACAGTTCAAATTTGGCTTTCAAACAGAAACAAAAATGGGTACCACCCCCTAGAGTCAGGAACGACTAGCACATTTGTGCGAGGGGAACCTTTACCTTTAGCATTTTTCAAATGAGGAAAAACAGCCTTTTGCCAATTTCCTTCCTCCTTCGATTCCCCTCATATTCCAAAAATCTGTTCTTGGAGAGTTTGGGAAGTTTTCAGATCAAGGTGGAAATTGCCCTGCAGTTTGGATGGTGTAAGGCAGGAGTGTCCAACCTTGGCAACTTTAAACCTGGCAGACTTCAACTCCCTCCGCCAGGCTTAAAGTTGTTAAGGTGGGACACCCCTGGTATAAGGGGGATTCTCCTTGATAAGAAATCGTGCCCTCTAAGGCCCTGCTACAGCATAAAACCCACTAAAACCCATTAAAAAGTGATACAGGCAGTAGGAGAGAGGTTCCAAGATTCTGTTTGTGAAAACTTTTTAATATAAGAATCCTTTCTGGATTGCACATTTAAAGGATGTGCATGAAGATGCTATTTTAAAAGTTCCCTTTAGTGACTTTGAATATTAACAGATGAAAAAATGTTTACCGTATATACAAATGCATTGATTCAGGCTCTGTCTTACACAATCTATAACACCTTTAGGCTATTGTTTTATTTAGCTCTAATGTTTTTGCAATATACCAAAGATTTAGTATGAAAATGTTTGCAGTTTTAAGTATCCTTCCTTGAGGAGTTCAGAAGAGATGGAAAAAGGGTATTCTAGGTCATTTTGTTTTTGTTAGGGAAAAAAAAAAGAGGGGGGATGCAGCCATATTTAGGACTATGTAGTTACATTTTTCTTTTACCAGAACTATTTTCAGAAAGCTGACAAATAGTTAGGGGTATCTCAGGGTAGGGTCAAAAAAGCCAAGGTGACAGGAGCTGCTTTGAGTCCCTTTTTTAAAAAGAGGATCAGAAATTCTGGGAATGGGGAAATCTTATAACATAGTTATGGTAGGTAGTAAATCTATAAGGGAAAGATAAAGGTTCCCTTCACATATATGTGCTAGTTGTTCCTGACTCTAGGGGGCGGGGCTCATCTCCGTTTCAAAGCCAAAGAGCCAACGCTGCCCGAAGATGTCTCCATGGTCATGTGGC